GAGGCCATGAACCCCTCCACCCCCCCCCCAGGCCTTGGAAAGAGGCAGCAAGCCACGGTGTGTGGGTCTATGTGTGTGTGTCCATGTGTCCACCAGCCTCTCCCAAGATCCTCCCTGATCAGACACCGGGTGGGGGTGGGGGTGGCTACCTGGTGGAAGGCAGGGCAGCGTCCATACAGCCCCCCCCCCCCAGTCTGGGATGGCCGGTGGTGCAGCTTTGCTGGAGGGCCCAGGGCTTAGGCCCAAGGGCAGGAGGAAGGGGCCTGCCTGCCTGCCCGCCCGCCCACGGGAGGCCCTGGTGGGCACGTCTGTGCTGTGGCTACTGGGGGTGGGGGTGGGTGGAGTGCCAGGGAGCTCAGCCAACAGCCCAGCTGTTACTCCCCCCCCCTTCTCCCTCCAGGTGAATCTGGCGGAGACAGAAATCACCAAAATGGCCAGTGACTACTCTGAAAACGAGCTTGAGCTGTTTAAAAAGATAGTAAGTGGGATGATGAGGATGAGGTGGTGGGTGGCTGGGTGGGTGGGAGAAGGGGAGTCATCTCTCTACCCTGTGAGGATGGGTAGAAGGAAGGGAGGAGACAGACAACCGGGAGGGAGGGAGACGTCAGGGGAACCACTCTCGGTGATGCGTGTGGACAGGGGGTCCCGGGGCAACCCAGCGCATCCGGCCACCAAGGCCCTCCTCCCTGGGTAGGGATGCGAATCCTGGGAGGGTCGGCAACCCAAAGGAAAAGGCCAGGACGCCCCGGGAGAAGGAGACCTCTGGGTGGTGGGGCCACCCCCGCTTCTGGCCTGGGCAGGTCCAGAAGAGCCTCCCAGCGGGGGTGCCCTTCCTCTCACAAGGGGGGGGGGCTTCTTTGGCTTCCGCAGATGGACCTGGTGGTCCTCTCTGGGAACGGCTTTGCGTCCTCCACGCGTATCCTGAACACGGCCGACCAGCTGAAGCCGAAGAGGATGAAGAAGGTGGAGGCGGAGCAGGTGCTGCAGAGCCTGGTGCGGGACAAGTGGCTCTGCGAGGTAAAGGCCCCCTCCTCGCCCGGAGGGAGGGGGTGGCGGTGGCGCGGAGAACCTGCCCGGCCTCCTCCTGCCCCTCAGGAAGAACAACCCCCCATGCCTAGTGGGGCAACAACGATGGCCTCTCTCTCTCCTTGCAGAGGGAGGGGGAATACTCCCTGCACATCCGGGGCATCCTGGAGCTGGAGCAGTACATCCTCAGCCACTATCCTGACAGCGCCCGCAAGTGCCACCTCTGCCACAGCCTTTCCATACAGGTCAGTGGGGCTGCTGGCCAGAGTGTGTGCGTGTGAGCGGGCGGTGGTGGTGGTGGTGGTGGTCTCAGTCCCATCAGGAAGGCAGTGGCGTGGAGGGCGGGCTGGGAAGTGGCTGCTGCCTTCAGCCAGCCCCACGTGGCTCCATTTCTGCTCCCCCCCTGACTCAGAGGCAGAGGAGCCGTGGAGTCCCCCCCTTCCCTTCCCTCCCCCCCAACTTCCACTTCCTGAGGATGTGAGTGGGAGCTCCACAGCCCCCTTCTTCCTCTTCAGGGCTGGGGAGGTTCCCCCTTCCTTTCCACCCCTCCTCCTGCAACTGCCGCACTTCTCTGGTGCCTGAGAGCCTTGGGAGGCCGTGGGGGGGGGGGAGAGGCAACCCTGTTCCTGAGAGCCTGCTCCTGCTCCCCCCCCCCGCCAGAGCCAAGTCTGTGAGGACTGTGGGGCGGCCTTGCACCTGCCTTGCCTGGACAGATACTTCCGCAGCCAGACAGAACGGCGCTGCCCCAACTGCAAACAGTTCTGGCCCTCCCGGCTTCCAGGTAAAACCTCTGCCTAGAGCCTGCCTGCGGGTGGGGTGGGGGGAACCTGCTTCCCCTCTTTTGGAGGGATCTTCTGCAGCCACCCTCGAGCCCCCTCCCCTGGAAGGTTTCCGGACATACAGGTCAGTCACGCGGGACGGCGTGGGGCTCCTTTGGCGGACACATCCTTGCCCAAACTTAACACATGGGCACGTGAGGGAAGCCAGGATCGGCCACAGGAGAGCGCTTCGTCTTTCTCAGTGGGATCTCCCTCTCTGCCCCTTTCCTGAATTCGGCCCTCTGAGCCCCAAAGCCAACCCACCAGGTAGCAGGCAGAGCAAAGCAGGAAAGAAATTCCTGGTTTTGCCCAAGTTTGAAGTTTTGGGAATGCAGGACATAGCTGTTTGAATCCACCCAGCCCTTCCTTATATATTTTTCTCCCACTGCAGAGATCATTGTAACAGGGACCGACCTGCCGTCAGGCACCCCAAAGGAGAGCAGGCGGACTCCCCTGGCAGTGCCTAGGCGACGGTAGGCAATGCCTGTGCCCTCTTGGCATGTCTGAATGAAAAGAGACCTTGGACAGCAGACACGGACAGGGGCTGTCATGGTGCCACTTCTTTATTGGAAAGTTTGAAATAAATGTCTTGCTTTGTTTTCCTCTGTGGCTGTTCTGCCTCACGTCTGCACTCTTTGCAAACTCTTTCCGAAATCACAGAGGGCTTCTGGGCTGCATTTTACTGGCCAGGAGACGCTGCTTTATCCCAGACCAGGACCCTGGTCTTGCGGGAGGTGCTCCTACAGGGACTGGCATAACTGTCTCTCCCTCCCTGGAGAAGCGGCTGGCGTGGAGCCCGAGGCCTTCTGCCCTCACAGCATGTGCTGCTCCAGGGTGAAGCCAGCCACCCGAACCCCGTTTAGGACCACCAGAAGCTCACAGAGAAGCTGGTGTCCAGGGCCCGCACATAGTGCCAGTGGCGGGCAGGGATAAAGAGCACCTGGCCAGGGCTCAAGATGCACTCCTGAAAAGCAGCTGCTTTAAACTGGGGGAACCTCTCCAGGTCAGGGTCTTCTACATCCACCTGCAAAGACAGGAGAGGGCTTGGGTTGGTGGTCTGTCAGGCAGCCTTGCCTGCTTCACAAGGGAATCTGAGCACAGGCTTCTGCCCCAAGAGGCTTACAGTGGCAAGGCCACGGGAGAGAGCAGAGGCGAACAGGCAACTCTGGCAGTTATGGGCTCATCCTGAGCCTGCGTCAAAGGCTTCCGTTAAACGATTCAAACCCACCCCCGCCCAAAAAAAGGGAGACTAGCTGGGCCACTCTTTTGAAGAGGATGCCCGAGGCCACCCACCTGGCTGGTGTTGTGCAGCAGGGAGCCTTGGTGTGGATACAGCTGCTCCGTCTGCTGGGGAGAGTACAGGCGGATGTATTTCCGTCCCATCACCTGCATGGGGTAAACAAGGGAAACCTGCTCTGTGGAGGTTTGACAGCGAGAAGTGTAACTTGCCTAATTAATTATTGACCAGAATCAATGTCAGCCTGGAGAACTCCATGTCTTGCATACCAAGTGGAACTGCTAATACAGCACATGTAAAGATAGCGATCATTACCGTGCGGTATGTTTTAATGGATGTCCCGCAGTGGCCCTACTGGGGTGCTCTTTCTCTGTTCCCCCTATGCAGCTGAGACCAGGAGGAAGGAGCCCTTGGGAATCATTTCCCTGCCTCTCTGGATGGGGAGATCCTTCTGGGGTCACACCCTGAAGGGGCAGGCCGGGCGTCTCCCTGTTGCATAGGCAGGCACGGCCAGCCCCCTTCCGTCAGGGCAACAGAGAAGGATACCCGCCCTCCTGGCTGCATCAGCTCTGGCTTCCCTCACCGCCCCAGGGAAGGTTCAAGAGGACAAACCTGGACCAGGAAATTCTGCTCAGGGTCCTGGTGAAGAGGTGAGATGGTGCCCATTGGACCAAACCAGGCATTCACGGTGATGCTCTCTTCATCGGCTTCGCCCAGGCAGCAGTAGTCAGGAAGGCCGATGTCGTCCTTCAGTTCTGGGATCTGGCAAGTGGCCGGCAAGAAACAGAAGCCAAGGGGGAGGGTCTCTGTTTATCCAGCAGAGAACAAACCTACCTTGAGATAGCCAGTCTGTAAGCAGAGCGCCACCCCTCACCCCTCCCCGGCAACTGTTTGTGACCAAGCACACAGGCCTCACTCCCTGACATGAGCTCAATACTTATTTAAACATTTGGGCTCTGCTTTTTGCCTAAAATGCACACCACAGTGAAATCGTTAAATGCATGATACACAGTTCGGGTGAGGGAGGCTCCTCCCAAGGCCTGAGCATCAGCCTCAAACAAGGGCCCCTCATTCCTCCCTCCCCAAGCAAACCCAGCTGTGTCTGCCTTTCTACAGTGGAAGGTTATTTGGGCCCTAGGCTGTCGCCCTGCTGCTCCAAAGGAGGAGAAGCCCTTTTCACTCTCCAAAACAGAAACCAAGCATGTGGGGTGCCTTCCATAGCCTCGGAGGCATAGGGGGCTTCCAGAGGCCACAGAGGGGTGCGGCGCTTAGGGGTTATCCTGAGGCATACAATCCCTATCCCTTCTGGTGGTGAACAAGGCGTTCTGGAAGATGAGCTTTGAGAAAGCCACAAGGACGTAGATGGTCCCTCCCAGAGTCACCTGGTCAAAAAGCTGGTGCTGAGCAAGGTATCCAGTCTGGTCTTGCCCCTGCAAGGGAGACAAGGACAGCCTGAGAAACTGCTTTGCCTAAAGACGTCAGCTGAGGAACAGCAGTGTGTGTGTGTGTGTGTGTGGGGGGGGTGCTGCCCACCTCCCCGAGCAAGGCAGCTCAAGACTGCCCTCCCTCCTCACCATCCTCCTTGCAGAAGCCACCTGTGGAACGTGGAACCTCACCTGTACGTGCATCAAGAAAATTTCACCTCCTTTATTTGATAAAGTCGCTTCCACCAACCCCTTTTTGACCTTAAAAACTCTCCTGGCAGCTTCCAAATCAAAACCAGAAGAATAGGCTGCACACATCACGTTTTGCCCGCCTTGCGCCACCCGTGTGCCTCCCGTAGTAAACAAAAGACCCAGACCTCACTCTTGATGTACCGGCTGATGAAATCTCCGACGGTCATGAGGGTCTGGGACCACTCCTCGTCCGTGTAGCGAGAGCCCAGTTCCACGGGGACGGTGCGGCTGCCAGCCACCTGCCGGAGGTAATCCACACTGCAGCCAAACAAGAAGCAGCACCTTTTTCATCATCATCCTGAGGGCTCCTGTCCTATTTCCAAGGGTGTTGATCGAGCCCCTTCCCTGTTGTAGCTTACTCCATTATCAGAGGTGCTTGTGGAAAACAGGCAAGAGGGAGGCAGAAACCTTTCGGGAATGCTGCCAGCAGGCAGCAGAGTGCCATGCCAGCCAGGGAGAGCCCCTGGGCCAACATCCCAGGGCTGCCCAGTGGGCTTCCAGCTGCCGCCCCAGCCCTACGGCAAGGAGCAGGCATAGAGCAGGCCTGTGAGGTTCTGCGGCAGTTAACCAGGCCCACCTCCCATGGGATTGCAGCCAAGGAGAGATACCGGCCTCAACCAGGAGCTAAGTGACTGCCCACTTGAACTGGCAGAGGCGGGCACCCCACGGGCCCAGTGGCAGGATGGCTGTTCTCCAGGCCTTTTCAAGCAGAGCCTTTCCTAGATTACACAAGAGCTATTTTTCTCTGTGTGTTGTTCCCAGCATGCTCATGATACTTGGATGACTGTGGACATCTAGCCCTCTCATGCAAAAACATTTGAGTGCACATGGTGGCCGTGCCTGAATAGAACTCTACCAGCTTGCTGTGACCTCCTCTCATCATGCGGTGCCAGACCCTGTCACAATTTGGGACGTAACAAGGAGCCACCTGTAGCGCTGGCTGGTGTGAATGCTCCCTAACCTTCAATGGAACAAGGTTAGGGAGCATTCACAGTGCAGAAGGACGCCTGTCGGGTGCTCAGTCTGGAGACGCCACTGCCAAACACGGCAGGAGCCTTTCGATGCCAACGTTGGGATGGGAAGAATTGGGCACAAGCAGAATTGGGCCCTGTTGTCCATGGAGGTCATTGAAAGGGATGGGAAAACACCTCTCCCATTACTCGCCTAAGAGCAGAACGCTTCCTGCTCTTCTACGGGAAGCGTGAGCGCATCGGGGCCCACAGCGCCCGCAAAAAGTGGTCTGGTTATGGCAGACCCCTCTGCCCTACAGCGAAGAGGCTGCAGGAATGCTTGACAGCAAACACTGGTGGCACTGTGAGTTGCCTCTCACCTCCACTTCCTCATGCATGGCCAGTGGTCCACAATCCCCTCCAAGATCAGGGGCTTTTGCGGGATCAGATAATTGTCCTTGAAATGCTCCAGCGACGGGCAGACAAGCTGCAGTACTTCAGCTTCTGCTTTTATAGCAGGTGCCTGTGGCAACTCCTTCCGGCATTTCTGCAACAAGGAGCAGATGACAACAATCAATGCAGGTCTTTATGCTACAGGCTCTTAGAGTGATCCTACAGGCCTTTGAGCAGAGGAGTCCTACTGCTTTCAAGGATGTTTCCTTGGATCGAGGTGCCAGCATTTGGAGCAACAATACGACAGCTTTGCCGGAATGTGTTCTCAGGTGCGATCACTGGCAGGACCCCTTTGGGAATGGGGAGGCCTGCCGTGATTGTGATGGGGATGCTCCTCCAGAGGAGCAGACGCCTGGCTCATGAGAACAAAAGGCTACCTTCCTGAGGGGCTCTCCTCCTCCCCATCCTCCCTCTTCGCTGGCCAGTCCAGAGGAAAGGGCTCGGGGGCTGCCAGACAGATGCTGCTGAAGGATGCGAACCACCCTGACCAGGATGTTGTCCAGGATGGAGGCCCCCATCAGGAGCCCCATGTCACAGGCGCGCACGGCCTCCAGGGAGGCTCCTCCACCGCGGCACAGGCAGAGGGCCCGGAAGAGGCAGCCGTAGCTGTACACCCGACGCCACGCCTTGTCCACGTCCCTCCAGGTGCCAACGTTCAGCTTTTCCCAGGAGTAATCGCAGATCCTCTCGCTAAGCTGGAGGCAGGCCTCCCTCCTGGGCCCAGAGAAGGAAGCGAGGCCCCCGGGGCCCTCCCCGTAGAGCAGGGCGGCTGCCTGCTGGAGCAAGGAAGCCAGGCTCGGCTCACTGGGGGTGGTGGAGGTGCTGGTGCAGAGGTCCTGGTCCATCTCCTCCCGGCGGCTGGGAAGCAGCGGCTGCAGGGCGGCCCACACGGCACTCCCAGCGCAGGTGGCCGCCGGTGTCTGCCCCTCGCGGCTCGCAGGACTGGCCAGCTCCGCTTCCCCTTCGCTCTTTCCGGGGCGACGCCTTCTGCTCCTGCTGCTGCTTCTTCCTCCTCCTCCTGCTGGACCACCTGTGGCGAAGGGAAGGAAGGGGCCCACCAGGGGGGACTCACTCCAGTGGGGGCGGGGGGGGGAGAGAGAAAGAGAGGGAATCCCCTGCCCTTCCCCCTCCCCCTCCCCGGGGGAGTCCCCCAAAGGCACCATCCCTCTCCCCCCCTCCCCTCCATTGAAGCGTGGAGGTTTCCTTTGACTCGTCGTCGTCGTGGGGAGGGAAGGGCCCTTGGAGGCCCCCCAACCCAGACCCCTCGGGGGCCCGAGACCACCGGCCAGACCATCCCGGACCGGTGGCTGTCCCAGATGGGGGAACCCGCCACCTCGGGAGGCAAGCGGCCCCTTGCTCTGCGGGACTACGACTCCCAGAAGCCCCCTCAGCCACGGGGATGCCGGCAGGGGATTCTGGGAGCTGCAGCCCAGGGTTAACTCTTTCAACGCCACTTTGCCCCGGAAAGCAGCCGGCGCTACTGCCGCCGCCGCCTCTTACCGGCGCCTCCCGGGCCGCGGCCTTCCTCGCCCTCCTGTCCGGGACCCATGGCGTCCCAGGGGAGCCAAGCAGGCAGGCCTCCCCGGCGCCACTCCCACCACGGCGACTCCTGGAACTCCCGGGCGGCGCAAGGGGCGCATGCGCCCCTCCGGACCACGAGGAGCTACGAAATGGTAGAGCAACGGGGCAGCTGAGAGGAAGAGGGGGATTCCGGGTACCTTCCGGGGACAAAACAAGCCACACGCAATTCTCCCTGCCCGAAGCAAACCCAGCAGGGAGGCGCGTCGGCTCCGGCCATGGCGGGAGGAACAAGGCCGCCGCCCAGGCGCCACGTGAAGCTGCCCCGGAAGCCCTTTTCGGCCCGAGGTGGGAAGGCGCTCAGAGAAGAAAGCGGGAGCGGGACTTCGGTACCGGTGGTGAGGCTGTTCCCGAGGCGCTGGGCGGGAAAAGCGTGGCGCTGGAGGAGGAAGCGGTTGCTGTTGCCGCCGACCTGCAACTTGACTCCGGTTTCTCCACGGTTCCTCCTACTTGCCAGGTGGGAGAAAAAAACGCCGCATCGGTTCCTCCCACTGCGCGTGAGTCTAATTGAATAGATTTATGGGTCTGTGTAGGGTCCAACTGCGCCTGCGCAGTAGGAGTGTCCATCCCCCCCCCGTGTCCTCCTCCAGCCTAGGAAGGGGATTCCCGTGAGCTCTCAGGGCGCACGCGCAGCCTGGTCCACAAGGCGTTCTCGTGAGGGGCGGGGCCGGGCTGGGCAGAGGAAAAAGAGGCGGGGCCTCGGGAGCGGGAGGGGCGGTTCCTCTTG